GTGGAGAGAGGGAGAGATGGAAGTGCTGGAAGGAAAGGTCACAGTTCTGAAAGCTGAGAAAATAAAGAGGCAGAAGAGTGATGTGGTGCCTGGCAGGGTTTCCGGAGCTGCCGGGAAGGAAGCTCTTCGTGCATTAAGCAGGAAAGGCTTGGACTCGACTTGGAGAAGGTGGGGAAGTTGGGGGTGAAGGGGGAGCCTTTACTCAAGCAGATGAAAAGAGAAAGACAGTGTTGGGTACGCTCTAGAAAGGAGAGAATTCACTGCGTGAGGGTTAAGGAGAAAAATCACAGTTGCCAACTCTTACAAAGCACGCACTCTGTGTGAGGCGCTGTTCTGAGTATTAATGCGTTAAGAGAGAACTTTCAAACTCAGGATCAGGCATAGACCAGACAAGCCAGGGAAGACCAAGGTCATGGCTAAAGACGGGAGTAAAACCATTCCAAAGAATCGGTTGTAAATGTGCTGAGCTGTTTAAACACAGAGACTGTGCACCTGTAACTTGACCACCTGCGTGGGGTTTGCGCTTGAGGCAGGCGAGGGCCACCTGGGCCTCTTTTCCCAACTCTGCTTAGCAGCAGCACATTGGTAGCTTGAAATGGGCCACGGTGCGGGCATCTACACTGTGGAGATCGGCAAACGCTACAGATCAGGGCCCTCCTCGCTCCTCTCCCCTTGCCCCGAGAGCCAGTCCACCAGCACACCACCTAGGACCACGGCAGGTCCACGGGGCCCTGCCCGGCCCAGGTGGCGGTTCTATTCGACAAGCACTGATGTGGCACGTCAGCCAAGCTGCTGACTCTAAGGCGGCGCACAGTACGCTGGGGATAAACCAGTGAATAAAACAGACACAGACCCTGCCCTCACCGAGCTAACGGTCTGGTGCGGGAAACAGAAATAATGTTCACACGATCAATTCAATTGTGAGTGGTGCCACAAAGGAAGAAGACAGCCGACTCTCGAACACCTCGAGTTTGAAATGTGCGAGCCCAGTTACACAAGGAGTTTCCCTGCCCCCCCTCCAATAAATACATGGCCCTCCGTATCCATGGCTTTTTCATCCACAAGTCAACCAACTGTGGGTCACATGCCAACAGCATTTTGCATTCCCAACTTGGGTTCCCCGACCGTGGACCAAAAGTATCGTGTTCTCTCTGCAGCTGGTTGAATCTGTGGATGTGAAGGGCTGACTGTAGTTAAGTTTTGGGGGGGTTTTGACTGCCCCGGGGTCAGCACCCCTAACTCCCTGTGTTGTTCGAGGGTCACCCTCTGGGCTGCGGCAGGCTTTCACCCTCTGCATCTGACCTGAAGCTCAGATCCCTAGCATTGTTAACGGAGAAGCAAAGCACAACGGCCCCACTGTTTTCTCAGTGCTCAGGCCTCCGTGTGGCGTTTCCCGTCAGTAACAGGCAACTTCTTCAGGCCGGGTGGGCACTTCCTGGGTTCTCAGAGAGGCTTTCAGCCCTAGGGGTGAGAACCGACATGGGAGCCTCAGAGCAGCCTCAGCAAAGCCAGCCTCCTCCTCCACTCGCACCTGGCCAGGCCCAGCTCCCTGCCTCGCTCCTGCTCCCCAGGACATCACGGTTTCCATGGGAACCCACTCACTTCAAAGGGGAAGGAAGGAGACAGAGGGGAGGAGGGAGAGTGAACGCTGAATTAACCTCAGCCTCTGGGCCCTTCTCTGCGCTGCTGCTGGAAACCCAACCACCAGGTCGGGCAGCACGAGAGATGGCCCAGGCTACACTGTAACTTCCTCGGGGAAAATCCAGGGCTGAGGTGGGGGCTCAGCAGGAGAGACCTGAGTAGGTCCAAGGCTGCAGGCTCCACTGTGCGGGGTGGGGGGGCCTCCTCCTCGGACCCCCTCTCAGTATTGTTCCTGGGCACAGACATAATCACCCGCAACACGCACCCAATCACGGGATCTGCTCAGACCAGACTGCAGTCATTAATCTGCGGGGACTCCTGGCTGCCTGGCTGATTAGCCCAGATGATGCTCTGGTACGATCCAATTAAAGGCGGACCGGGCCTCCCCTCTGCCCCTCCATGCACGCGTGCGCACACACAGGCGCCTGCATCCGAAGGAACCAGTACATGTCATTAACACGTCCTCATACACAAGTAAAACCTCAGGGGCCCTGGCAGGCCCCCTCCGTCACAGGCACCCCTCCCTTTGTCACACTGCCCGTTGCTGCCCTGTGGGGGCTGGGGGGGTTGGCAGGGAGGGGCCTCCCCTACTCTTTCTTTATCTGTGGTTCTGGGATGGGCTGCGTGGAGGCTCCCAAAAGTCAGTGTGGGCACTAATCTGAATTGAAAGGGTCTTGTTACATTTATTGACATGAAATGCCAGCTCCCTGAGTGGTTTGGAGCAGCCAGGCTGCCCCAGGCAGACAAATCTAATTAAAATTACCCGACCCTACAGAGGGCCGGGCTCCCTCCCAGTCATCTCAAAGGGCTGCAGAGAGGGCAGCTGGCACTAATGGGAGAGGTGTGGCTGTGGGAGAGGACCCCGGGGCAGGGGCAGGCAGGGGCTGCAGAGCAGAGAGGCTGGGCCACCTGCAGAGATCAGCTGGGCACACTCTGAGGGCTGTGGGGGTCAGCCCAGTGGGAGGAGGTAAAGCCTGGGTGTGAAGGCGGACAGGAAGAAGTGGCGTCCCCGTGGACACTTCCCACAGGGGACCACCTGTCTGCCCTGCAGCTTGGCCGCGGTGGAGAAGGAGCCTGGGATCCTGGGAAGGGCTTTGGAGCCCAAGGAGCGATTGGTGGGAGCAAGGGGACCTCTATGGTTCATGCCAGACATGGTGCCAGGCACGCGCATGGGCTGCGTCTTGATCCAGTTGATGAGTTTCTGCCATAAAACTAAAGCTCAGAGGCTATCACAGCACTAATCTGGGGGTCTCTCCAGACTCCAATCTGTGCCCACTCCAGGTCCCTGCACCCAGGGGCGTGGGCGGGCACCCAGGATCAGGCTTTCGTGTGCATATGAATCGTCTGGGATCTCGTTACAGGCAGATCACCAACTCTTAGGCCGGAGAGGGGTCTGAGATTCTGCATTTCTGCTCAGCTCCCAGGCGGCACCAGGCTGCTCGTTGTGGGCCATCCTTTGAGTAGCAGTGATCTAAATGGGGTGTCATGGCTGTACCCCAAGTCATCAGACCATCAGACAGTTTCCAGAGGCCATGTCATTTTCCTCTCCCTTCTTGCACACCCCACAGAAGCACCAGCCCACCATGCAGGTTAACTCACAGGCAGCCACGGAGCCTCTTCTCCCCATACCCAGCCACTTCAGCTGCAGCCAAGCCTGGAACACATCAGGTGCTCTGCTGCCTGGAAGGCCCTACTCCACCCACTGCTTCTCCTGGTGAACTCTCCTGCTGGCCTTGAAGACCACACTCTTACATGGCCTCCTCTGTGAAGACTTCGTGCTAGAGCTCTGTCTGGAGAGACAGAGAACCCATGCTCTTATCTTTCTAGGGTTTTCCTCTCTCCCCTGCAGTCCAGCATGGGGCCCCACATAGAAACAGTGAGGGTTCAGTAGAAGCGTGTGAAAGAAGGAGTGGAGGGATGACAGGCACGCCCAGCCCCGTGACGGGGTGTGCTGGCTGACCCCCCAGCTTCGAATCTGTCTGACAGGACTGTGTCCAGATTGTGGTGTTCTCTGGGGCCCAAGACAGAGCACACATGTGGCCTGCAGGCAGCTAGGCCTGCGCACTGGACGGGCGGGGAGGGGAGGAGGGAAGGGGGAGTCAGCACTGTGATTTATTTTCTCCTCCAGGCCCGGCAAGGACCCTCGGGCCAGGATCTGTGGACCAGAGCCCGCTGTTCTGAACTCCCAGCTGTTGGCATTAGAGGCATTCAGCTCACCTGAGCAACTAAAAATAATGCTGATGATAATGATAATAACAGTGATAATCACCACCATTACCATAAAGGCGCTGTCATTTGGGGGTGGGGAGGAGCGAGGAGGAAGGAATCAATCTTCTTTCTATGCACCCTGGGTGGCCCACTGCGCAGATGAGCCGTTAGCACCTGCCAGCCACAGGTGAGCCGAGCTCACCGGGACGGGACGCATGGACGTCTACGCTCGCATGGTGGACGTGAGCAAGGCTCCAGCCTCAGGACTGAGCATGACCCGAGCACCTTCTCTTAGTGCCGTGTGCTCCCCGTGGGCAAGTGGGAGTTTGGTCCCTGCTGGAGCCCCACTCAGGCCTGCCCTCAGGTGGCTCCAGCTGCTTACCAGCTTCGGACATCAACAAGACTTGTCCTGAGCCCATACCCTGCTCAGGACCATCCAGGGCCCAGCCCTGGGGACATGGGCTGGGGCAGAGCAAGAGGAAATGAGTTCCTGCTCTCAGCAAACCCCGCATTTGGGGAAGGTGCCAGAACCTGCACAGCTGCACACAGCACCTGTTGCTAAAAACCAGAGATTACCGTGAATCAAAATGTGGTTCAAGGAACAGCTGCATGAGCGTCCCAGGAATGCTTTTACAAGTTCATATTCCTCTTCCTAGAGCTTAACCTACGGTTCAGCATTTCAGAGCAGGGAGCCCCAAACATGCATTTTAACAAGCTCTGCCAGTGATTTTCCGGCATGCTGAAGTCTGCACAATACTGAGTCCTAGATGGTGAGATAGGTATCCAGTGCTCTTGTGGGAGTAAAGGCAACGAAAAGGCGAGGAGGCAAGGGAGGGGTCCCCAGCAGCTGCTGTTTGCTGAGCTGAGGGTTTCTGGCTCATTAGGGCTCATCTCCCCAGCTGGGATGAAGAAGAGCTCCTCCTGGAAGATACTGCCCAGAAAGCATCGTAGACAATTCCAGAAAGCTAGTGTCCACCCACAGTGGCCAACTGAGGGGTCTCTGCATTGATTTGAGAGAGAAGCTGCGAAGGGAGCAGCTGTCGGCCATTGTCTTGGACCAGCCCACCCACTGGCTCGCCATCTCCTCTCCCACAGCTCGGGCCTGAGGCCGGTTTGTCGGGGGCTTCTCAACACAGCTGATGCTCTCCTACCTGTACACAGCTCGCTTGTCAGCCTCCAGCTGGGCCTGGGGGTCGATGGGGGCGCTGGGCACGGGAGTGCTGGCAGCAGCTGCGGGGGCGGAGATGTGGACAGCCTGGGCCTTGGAGGGTGTCTGAGCAGTTGCCGTCATCTGCAGGGAGAAGAAAGAGGAGGTGGCGGGTTAGCGTGGCCAGGACAGCTGCTTCCTCGGCTGCAGCTGGGAGCCCGCCTTGGCCCGGGGGCGTGTGTGTGGCTCACAGACGTTTGGGAGGGTCTGTGAGCGTGCATGTGCTACAGTGGGAAGAAAGCACATCTTTCCTCAAATAAGAATGTTCTAGAGAACAACACAGGGCCTTCCAAGCCGAGGGAGCAGGAGCATACTTTAAAAGAGATGAATCTTCCTGCAAGGGGAGGTGGCGACCTCTGTCCAGAAGCAGAAAAAACCAGAGTGATGGCACTTTAAACCGAGCTGATGAGCCATCGGGGACGTATCGGGCAGTGTGAAGTTTGATTCGATGCCTTTGGAGAGGAGGAAAGATTCGCTGAGTCAGTTCTCATCTGGGCAGAGGTCTATTCCATTCAACGCTAGCCAGGGGTAGCTGTTTTAACGGTTTTGATGGAAAAGGAATGATTCTCCAAATTTGGTTTACCCAGGCACTTGAAGATAAGTGGATTTTAATGGACAATGGGCAGACTTCTGTTCTTTTATTTAAAATTCTTTTCTTTTTTTAAGTTTTAATTTCTTTTTAGATTTTATTTATTTATTTTTAGAGAGAGGGGAAGGGAAGAAGGAGAAAGAGAGAAACATTAATGTGTGGTTGCTTCTCACATGCCTGCAACCCAGGCATCTGGCCTGCAACCCAGGCGTGTGTCCTGACTGGGAACTGAACTGGTGACCCTTCGGTTCGCAGGCTGCCACTCAGTCTACTGAGCCACACCAGCCAGGGCCAGACTCCTATTCTTAACCATAACAAATATTGAGAGTGGTTGTTTTCGTCCTGCTGTTTTAGAAGGTGCCTCCAGGGCCCTATTTTTTTTTAATCAGAGCAACTCCTTTAAATATCATATGTTGAATTTTCTTTCTGTAGAAGATTTTATTTAAAGAAACAGTTAAGTGGCTTTAAAATTTGTTGCTAACCACCAGTACAGAATATAATGCTTTTACACTTCCTTAGGCCCCTAAGATGTCACGGATGCTGACCCGTCTCAGCTGGGGCCTCCCTCCAGCCTGTCCGTGGCACCGGGTTCACTCTCGCTGCACACCCACCCCCCGGTCCCTGTGCTGTTGGGCTCACAGACTCTGCTGCCTCCCGAACTGAAGCTCTGTTCACATCTTCGCCCCCAGCACCCGAGTGGCACAGAGGAAATGCTTAGTATTTGTTGAGAAAATACATGAATGAATAAACGAATGAATACACCTTGAAAGAATCAGATATTTTATAGCCAGAAAATTTAGCATATGATCTAGGTCCCTGCTTCCTGGAAGAAAAACTAGTGTACATCCATGAACACAGCGCAGAGTGGCTGGTGCTGACATCCCCGGGACAGCGGCCGTCTCACGGTCCTCCCTGCGTCCCTGCTCCGATGCCTTGTCCCCAGAGAAAAAGGGCACCCCTTCGCCTCTTCCCTCGCCTTAGCGTTGTCCTTAGTGTGACCATGAACTACATACCTACTTCCTGAGTTATTTGCTCTCCCACCCCCAGCTAACATTTAAGCTCATTTAAAAGGGCTTGATTTAACTGTTGTATTCCTGGGGCTCGGAGTAGCCTGGCACTGGTAGGTGCTCAATAAGTATTTGTCAAATCAGTGAATTGAATTAATCAATGAGGGTTAGTGAATGAGACTGAGACTATAAAAGAAATATATCTGATTTACTCTGCTGCATCCCCCTCATTTCTCGCTGGGATGGAATGTCCTCGTCACTGTCGGCCGAGCTGGGGGATGTCCCCAGACTCAGCACACAAGAGCTGGACACATACGGTGGTCCCTCGAAGCCAGCGGACAGTGGCTTGGACACTACTGTCTCCGGACATTCGCTTTTGACTTTGGGCAAATCCCTCAAGTTCCCCAAGCTCCTCTTTTCTTATCAGTAAGCAAACTGGCGTCCTTTTAGGGTTCACGAATATTAAAGAGATGCTATAAGGAAGAACATAGAAACGAATGTTCCAATCGTGAAAACAGAGAAAGAAGGTGGAATCAGAAATACTGAACATTGCTAATGTTGGTCTGGGCCCATTTCTTTCACTCACAAGTGCAACCGACTGTCTCCTCGAAGCTTCTCGAGCCCCTGCCGTGTACTGGGCACCGTGCTGGGCCCACCAGGCCAAGTGCCCGCTCTAAGGGAGCTCAGCCCCTGCAGTTGGCACGGCCGCCGAGCTGGCAGGGCAGGAGGGTGCGGTGGACGTGGATGCGTGGTGCCGGCGACCTCAGCACGGCACCTCCCGCGACATCCCTGGGGAGACACGGAGCGACGCGCCTGGGCGGCAACGGTGTGAGCTGGTCCGCTCCCTGGAAGGAGGGCGCGAGAGCGCAGACGGATGGCCGCTTGAGGGAGGCTTCCGGGAGAGGGCTCTGCTTCCCGCCTAGCCCTCTTCCTCAATGTTTCTACCGGCCACTTAGAGGACATCTGAAGAGATGCCCAACAAACGTGTGGGTGACGTGAAACCGGGACCCGAAAGATCCTTACACGTGCTGAGATCCTCAGCCACACTCGGAGTCTAACAAGATGCATTTTCATCTACTAAGCCGGAACTTATCACTTCTAACACTTTGGTCAAAAAAAAAATCAGTAACTTAAGTGCAGCACAGGGGCGACCCGGTTTAGCAGCCATGCTTTCGCTGACGGCCGGTCCATTCTGGCCAAGGCGTCACATGTCTGTCAAACACACGCACGGGAGAACCGAGGCCGCACTAACACAAGCACGGCTCGCACAAAACGTCCAGTCCCCCTGCCGACACGGGTGCAGGGAAGCACACTCAGAGGGGCGTCGGCCAGGGGAAGGCACTTCGCACCTCGTCGAGTGGGGAGTGTCGGAAGGAATCTGAATGTGTAAGAGAGACTTGGGAGAGGGGGCGATGGAGAGACGCGAGAGCCCCCATCGAACAGCTGAACGAAGGAGTCGACTCTACCAGTTCTGGCGTGTGTGCCTCAGAGGGCCAGACTACCAACTGTGCAATCAGTCTGCTTGAACTGAGACAGACTTGGGCTCACCCCAAACAAGCTCCTAAGCCTCCAAGCTCCGCAAGGCTGAGCCAGGCTGTCTCCCAGAGACTGGCTGGGCCTGGCGGAGGCTGACCGGTCAGTTGGGCCCCTGTGCAGGGTACGGAAGCATTCTAGCTGGGTGGCTGGGGTAGGCAACATCTGAAGTCCCTTCCAACACTAGCAGGCTCGGACTCCCTGAGTGTGCTCCAGTCACCCCCGCCCCACCCCTTGCCTCCCCACCCGCCCCCCAGAGCTGGGCCAAGGCTCGGGCTAGGTGATGCATTGTGTGTGACAGTGCTGGGGAAACTCCGAAGTGCTCCCCAGGTGGAGGAGTGATGGCTGTTATTAACACAAGATTCCCAGACTGTGTTTCTTCCCTAAGCAACACAGTGAAGTTTACGGTGAAGTACAAAGCCGGCTGCTGTGCTCCGAGGAGACCGCCGCGCATCCTGCACATCCTGCGCAGGCAGCAAACTGGGGGTGGGGGGTCGGCAGAGCACCGCACAGACGGGAGGACTGGCCTTTTCAATGAGGGGAATGAGGCGCAGAGGAGGAGAGCCACACTGGAACAGTGTCTGGGGAAATTTCTGGGAGATCAGAGAAGTCGCAGAGAGTGGAAGGAGCAGGGGATCCAGGCCCTGGGTTTGATGCTCCTTTGTTAATTATTAGCTATGCATTTTAGGGTGAATTCTCTGACTTTTAGGAGGCTTGGTTTCCTTGTATGTGAAATGCAGGGGTAACACCTACTCCTTGTGAGGCTCTGAGGGTTAATCAAGAGAACAGGATGATGACTAGTAGACAGGGGTCAGGGTGGGGGTGGGGGCAGCGTTCCCTGGAAGGCCGCCGCTATGAGCTGTGGGGCTGTGTCCAGAGCCTACGCAGGGTCCTAAGGCTCCAACCTCTCACCCTAGGGTCCTTCCTCGGGACAAAGACCCAGGCCCACAGTGGCTCCCCACTCTTGCCTCCATAGATGCTACAGGCTCTGGATTCTGTCATCCAGCTGGACCCGCGCCTGCCTTAAGCTGGGCGCCAAGGGCCCTGACTGACCTTGGTCTGTGTCACCTAAAGATGGAAGTCCTGCCCCTGTCCCCATCCTGAAATGGAGTGGGAAGGGTGGGGGTTGTAAGCTGTGTCTGGAGGTGCTGACAGTGTAGACTGACCATGGAGATGGGCCGGAGCTGCTCCGGGGGTGACTCGGGGGGAGCTGGGGAGCAGCACACCTGCCTGCCCACCTCAGCAGCTCTTCCTGCTATTGGAACGCACCATAGAAGCCTTCTCTTCCGTTAGGCGTCACCCCTGCCCTCCGTGCCATTGTGGGGCAGAGTGGGCACATCCGCTCTAACGAGCTGATAAAACGTTTCTGCAGCTTTTGTGCTCAGCAGCAACCCCCTGCAATAGATTAGTGTGATCCCCATTCTACGTGTGAGGAGCCCGAAGCCACGGAGGAAAAGAAGCTTCTAGACATCACAGACAGTTTGTGCAAACGCTGGGGCAAGAGCCAAGGACGTTCTGCCGGAATTACACCGTGTGAATTATTGTATGTAATTACTTTCCTTTGAAGAGGAGCGTGGGAAGATCCCCCACCGCCACCCCCGAGTGAAAAGGAGGGCAGAGAGGAAGGGCGCCGGAGTCAGGACTAAGCTTCACTTCCCAGCAGCACATGTTCCTGGGTCTCCACCCAGCTCACGGGGTCCCCCCTCGGGCCCTGCTTCTCCCACCCCGTGAAGTGCTTCTGCATGGAGCCCGAGTAGGAAGGTGCGGGTGGTTTATTAATCGAAGGTGGCTCAGGGCTGCTTCCTTCGGAGGCTACGAAGGAGCTGGGGGGACTGAGGCCTGAGAAGCCCAAGCCTGCAGGGTGCCCAGGCCCAATCGTGGTTGACTGCCGCCTACTGCCAGCTGCCCTTCAGAATTCCTCTCTTCTGTTCACGGGAGGTGGAAGCCGGTGACTC